TGGTACGACAGAATCACGTTCATGCGCGAAGTTCGAGTACACAACATGCTAGATAGGCGATGCTGCACAACAGCCGAATGAATAACCTCATGGTTAAGTCATATCATATGGTTACATTTTCATTTTCAGTGATATATAAGCAAGCACCGGAAGTCTATTCAAACCTACCCGTTTCCGAATCCACTGAGGTTGTTCAATGGCACACGCGGACATAAAAGGGTTGGACAATTGACGCAGCATGCGCAATGCAGATGTGAGACAGGTCATAATGTCAGTTCGATTCGTTGCATCTGGATGCTTAACCCCGGTCACATCGTCGGACGATGCCAGTGTCCCCATTACAACAGACAGTACACGATCCAAAGCCAGCCAATGCCACGACTTTAAGAAGAAAGAAACAAAAAGTGACGGATGCATGGAGTAGGGGAAAAGAATAAACCGTAGTATTTATAATTACTCCAGAAGTAAGCTAAGTGTGTTGCACATAACAAAACCTCTTATACGGGAGAATATGTAGACGGGGAATGCTAATGCTACCTAGCCTAGTCGGCAGCCGATTATCTGGTATGCTGACTGAAAAGGCACAAAGTAAATCAATGTTGTATGACTCAATAGTATTCGTATACTCAAGGATCAGGTTACAAATCGACAACATGCTGGCACGTTCGCAAAAATGTAACTCAATGCATTCAACTGGTTATTTATGGACGACTAAGCACGTACCATAATTACGAATGGGTCGATCAACGCTTTTCCGGGTGACCCACTTGTATGCGAGGTGAACTGGATCGACTTTTTGAGGAGACGACAGGCTTGCTTCGCGAATTCGAGGTTGTGGTTGGGTGTGCTGAAAACCGTAACAGGTGTGAAAAGTAGCAGTGAAGTATGTCATGATCAACGCGGAAGAAACTGAGAACATAAAATACAGAGTACTCTAAATTAGAACTACACTACTGATGGATAGAGGCAGTAGCACAATATGTTAATGAAAGTTAGCGAGGAAACGAATTCCAACGAGAGCTGGATTCATTTCCGGTCTAGCTGGATTGATTGATGTTTCATTTTTGGACAACATGCCACAAAAAGAGTTACAAAGGAGGTACAGGAACCCGATTGTGCCAAAAAGGTGAAATGAGCGCGACTGCCAAAAACTAATCGCCTCCGTACGCGAATGAAAATCAAAACTGGAACATAAACCATCTAGTTCCTCGAGACGAGAAGGTTCTCATCAGCCTTCAACGTTACCCAATAATGATAGCGGATATCTCAAATAATTTTGTTATGCATATCAATAATTTCACTAGTGTTCTGAATGCTATTGGAAGAGCAGTCATTTAATAGAATTTATTGACAAGCTATGTTGAAATGATGAACTTGAGAATCAACGAGGGTCACTGGTTAGACTGGTATGTGATAGGCTGAAGAAAAGGGCACAAAAAGCAGCCAAGTTATTGCTACTTACAGCGAGGCATTCGAGGCGCTGATGACGAACCAACCCATTGAAAAATTCTACTGTACATTGACAGAAGTTCTAAGAATGGAGTTCGCGAATCTGAATTCCATGAGCTAGCAAGTCTTTCTCTGGTAAACTTCCACGCGACCGCTTATCTCCGCTTTACTAACCCGTTCGCTCCATCCAACGTGGGCTAAACTAGGTGAACACCGATAATCGGAAGCCTCTAGTCGATGGATATCTTTTAGTCGCAAACTAAAGTTTCACAACCATAAAGCAGAACTGAACGAACGGTTGCAGAGTATAAAGGGCCTTCCAACTTCAATGAAACGTCGCGTCTACGCCAAAAGTGGTCCAGGCCTGCGTGCGCTGCTCGAGCCTAGGAAATGCAGGCGGTAGTCTTTGCTGCGCTACCGTCATTGGTGGCCTAAGTAGGAAAATAAATTCACATAACTAATGGGCTTGATGCATACAGAAATGAGCAATAGTGGCCGCGGAATGTATTGCACGCAAAAGGTATCCACGTGTGTGTACGCACATGAAGCAAGGTCGTGTGACTGTGTGATGCATACATGCGCACACGAGAAAGCGACACAAGGTGAACTACGAGTGGTTTCAATTTTCATTTTTCAAACATGTGAAGTACAGATAATTAAGGACCAGCAACTGGATCTAGGTAACTCTGATTATTGGTGAAAGCAAAACTCGCGGATAAAAGAAACAATGATCTGGAGGATTTGAATAATGATATGCGCCGGTGTCCAGCAGATAGGGACAAATGTAGAAGAAGCAACTAACCCAGCGTTAACGTCTATCCCACAGTATTTTGATGATACCGGGCAGGTGTACAGTGAGTGCAAAGGCGCCAGAATAAAACTCTGAAGGAGATTAGGAGAGATTTAGATCCGAATGTGCATTCCTATGACAGTGGTGAAATCATTCATAAACATTTCTCGCATAATGTCATGAAGATGACATGATAGATTAACTAAGAACAGACATGCTTTTCGAATGATAAGTCAAGTTCCCAGATAGAGCCTCAAAAGCTGTGCCACTCAGCAACATCGAGTAAGCGATATTCGCTCATCCACAAAGTTCAAAGTTCCCTTCTGATGAAGTGAGCACGGTTGGCAGAGGATTAACACACGGTGCATAGAATATATTCATTTTCAGTCTAAAAAAAGTAAGGAATAGTTGGCTGAGCACGATAATCGTCGTACTACCAACAATACCGACGGGCCCAACGTTACAGAGCACGAAATGGAATACTTACGCATAGATCAGCCACAAGGCATTTGCTAGTGCACCAGTTTTTGGACAGTCAAGAATCATTTGTGGTGGTGGTTCTAGTTGGAAGATGTTATCAGAAGCCACCTGATTGGAGTCCGGACTGTAGCGTTCAAGCCAAACGGCGCGCAGTAATGTGGACCACCAAC